TTCCAAGGTTACATTGTCTTCCCATCATGTATTTCCTTTTGAGCTTGACCTCCAAGGGCATGGTAGCTTCTGATTAAGTCTTGCCTCTTGGGCTAGACTCCAGGGGTACCGTATCTTTCTATCAAGTCTTACCTCTTGAGCTTAACTTCTAGGGGCATGGTAGCTTCTCATTGAGTCTTGCCACTTGGGCTTTACTTTTAGGAGTACCGTATCTTCCCATTGAGTCTTATCTCTTGGGCTTAACTTCCAAGGACATAGTAGCTTCCCATTGAGTCTTGCTTCTTAGGCTCGACTTCCAAGGGAATTATATCTTCCCATTCAGTTTTGCCTCTTGGGTTTGACTTCCAGGGGTAAGGTTGGAGACCTTGTCAGGTATTTGCCCTCAAGGAAACTTTCTACACAAAAAACCTTTTGTGAGAGAAAAAGAAAATTTCATTGAATGAAAAGAATTCAAAGTAACATACGAACTTTTTCTAGAAGAAAATTAATAGTTATATGCTAGTCTTATACTCCAATAATTTGGAGTTGTACTTTTCATTCGATAACCCCAATGTTGTTTTTCTAGTTCACATCATCCCGTTCTTGCAAGTAGCGACCCAAGTGATCTTAACATATCAAACATTTAATTTCTTCTTTTAATTAAAAATATTTTTCTATTGAATGCCCTTTCGCTTGGTGGAATTTACAATACTGATATTGGTCTCCACCATATAGATTTCTTTAATGGTTTTAGCCAGTTGACGACCTCTTCATAGTTGATGGCCATTAGGATGTTGACACGTGAAATATTAAGTGGTGTGTATTTTTTCTTGATAAAGGATCACGATTCCCCTGCGGTCCAAACTTTTTTCATTATAAAATTTGATCAGTATCTCAGATGTTATTCTTGTGCTTGCCCCCCTCCAATAGCTCGAATTAATCCTTATGTGCAATGATGGCCTCATCTATAGAGATTTGAGCTTCAACATGATGGGCAAGACTGACATAAGATCGAACCATCTCCGACATCATTGATGAGTAGAAAGGTCCTGGGCGGAGCCCTCTAAGAAAAATTTTGCTCAGTAACTCTAAATATACTCTTGAAATCTGGCGGGCTTTAGTAGAAAACCTGCGAAAGTATTTCTTGACGGATTCCCACACATTCTGGAAAACTCTTAATAAGTGGGATGAATAGTTTATGTTCCTTTGCTATTAACTTCTCTACAAGCTCATTAAAAGTGTTGATGATGACCCTCGAGATGGAGTAGAATCATGTGCGAGCTCAACCCTTGAGAATCTCAGAGAACACTTGACATATAAGTACATCTTAAGAACGGTGAATGTGCATGATAATTCGATAGTGGTCGATGTGCTTGTATAGGTCAGTTACTCCTTTGTGGGTATTGATATTCGAGAGTTTGAAGCCCACTTGGATAGAGCGTTGGAGAACTGCGTCAACAAAAAGGGAGGATTCTTGAAGGTTATGATGAGAAGGGAAGCAATCCTTTTTATTCAGAGGGAAATCTTCCTGAATCAAGCATCATAGCTCATCACAATTGATATCAACATAAGCGATAATAAAGCGGGGCGGTGCCAGGTGAGCTACGTGAGCACATGAAACAAACTTTTAATGTCAAGGAGATCGACATCTCGTCTCAGCAAGGGAATGGTTTCATTATTAAGAGAGAATCCGATGAGTGGGGTATTTCTTGTTTAATGTTGAACTGGTGGTAAGTAAGCTTCATTGGGTTTTGATTGTTACTCCTCGCGTAGGAGTTATAAAATCTCTAGTTAAGATGCATACATCCCGCATACTCGGTCTTCCATAGAAGGACACAAGTACCTTCATTAGTAGGATGATGCCTATTGGAGTGAGAGTAAGAAGAGGCTTGATTCCCTCTGTGACTTTCTTCTGGAATGATGGGTGTTGAAGTGGGATGCTCCATTGTTATGAGTGTTGCGCCTAGCAACCATGCAACGAGTCTCACAAATACTTTAGTTATGAGAATGATCTATTCGCACAGACTGCGCCAATTGATGTGTGCTAGAAAATTTGTGATGATAGAGTAATGCATTATCGTCTTAGTGTCGCACAAAAATTCAACATACACTCGGATGAAAGAAAACAACTTGTAGAGAAACTAGAAGTTTTTATATGAAAAAATTGAAAGGACCCGACTTAACTGAAGAGACTCACTTTAAACTAAAGATTACATGTAAGGTCCCTTGTTTCGTAAGCTGAAAAGAGTTACACAATATTTTGAGCTATAAAGTCAATGTGCAGATGAACTTGTTATAGGAATTGAGCGACAACTGATGATACGCGACTGCAATTGGTGATGAAATGATATGGACTTTAGCTCCTTCTCCAAGCTTCAAGCTCTCTCTTTAAGCTTCAAGCTCTCATCTTCTCTCAAGAGAAGGGTGGGGCTCTATGTACAGAGTCTTGCTTACAATTAATAAAGGAATATGAACCATTCTGATTGGATGACCCAGAGAGGTTCCCTTGATCAGACAAAATTCAATGAACATTTGAGTGCCTTAACAATAATAGAATTGAGCGGTAATTGGATCGTTGGATTCGTTTTGTCGAAACGCTCGATTGGACTACAAAATTGCCAAATTTGACATTCATTCATCCTCCCAAATATATTGGAAAGCTTTCAAAGTGGTTTAATGACTTTATCTGAGCATGATTTGACTTAGATTAGATCAAGTTTGGTGTCATCGGGTCTGTCACACACACACACACACACACACACACACACACACACACACACAC